AGGTCCCTTCCAGCCCAAACCATCCTGTGTTCTTTATTAAAACCACTCCCTGTACTGCTCCTCACTGCGCTGGGGGGAGGTCAGTACCGTCCCCGTGTTACTGGGGCAGGTTCAACAAAAGAGGCACAGCTTTGAACAACCCCACATTCAAAAGGACTTTCTTCTGGGAACAACAGCAACTACTTTCTTTTTTTGGTCAAAAAAAGAAGAGAATTGCTCCAGACACAGGATTTTTGCGTCAAAGTGTCCTATTTCCTTACTTCAAGGAGATGAACTTGAGTGTCCACAAGGGAACAGAGAAGTTCCAAGGACAGCCAAGAGACTAATAAAAAGCCAATATTTTCAGCAAGTGCATTAAAATGGGACACAAGAGGAGGAAACTCTTAAAATAACAGATAATGGGACGAAGCAAGTTTTAATTGCTTCTATTACTTGCTTGCATCTTTTACATACTGAGATACCAAGGGTTTTTTTCTTACTTGATGCCACAGCATTATTTTTTACGTTAAAGCTGCAACACACAGATGATGCCTGTGGTCCCTGACCTTCCACAAACACACCCGGCAGCAGGGTAGATGTGTGAGGCGCAGAGCCAAGATGAAAAATAAGAGGGGAGAAAAAGGGCCATACTCTGATTAATGCCATCTTGGGGAAGGGCTGGGCTTGCTCTCCCTACAAGGGCCAGCAATAAACAAGGATCTGAAAGGGGAAAATACTGCTCGATGTATGCCCACGCTAGAGCCCTTGCTGCGCAGGCACGCTTGCCCACGTCAGGCACTGCAGCCTCCTCGCTGCTCTCACCCTGGGTGGGGTGTTTTGGTTTTTAACTCCCTGGCGTAACTTGCTCATCTTACCAGCAGGAAAGGCCATTGAACAACCAGTACTTTGACAGGGGTGAAGAGCTCAGCCCCTCGGGGTCCAGGTGGTCAAGACCCAGGAGGGATTCAGGTCTCTTCAACTTTGACAGGGGTGAAGAGCTCAGCCCCTTGGGGTCCAGGTGGTCAAGATCCAGGAGGGATTCAGGTCTTTTCGTATCTAAACTCTGGAGAAAGCACAAAGGCATGAAAACAAGTGAATTCTGCCTCCGCTCCCTGCCCATCTGCTGGCAGAACTCACAAAATAAGAGATACCAAGAGGGAAAAGCGTGACTGTTAAGATTTAATAGTGTAAAAAAATAGATGGGATGTTATTTGCTAGAGAGAAGCACCACGCCGGGCAGCAGCGGGGCTGGCAGGCAGCGTGCACACCAGCAGCAGCTCCTGGCTCTGCAGTGGGTCAGGTCCTGCTCTGCAACAGCCTGTGCTGCAGGTTGGGAGCTCCAGATCAAGCCCACTCCTCTGTCCCGAGGAACATGTGCCTTTGAAAGTAATTGCTGCCTTCTGCAGGACTTTCTGCAATCAGAGCTTTTCCTCGGTGCTCAAAGGCATTCGCTTGTTCATCAATCCAGAGCAGCAAGGCTGAAAGCAAGGCAGTGGCAGAGGGCAGTGCATCCCAACACCTGACAGCGGGCTTAGTCAGGCGGTCCCAGGAAACATCGCACTCCAGAAAACAAAACGATTAAAAAAAAAGGGGAGAGAAATTAAAAAAAAGGAGGCCCTTTGTACATCTGAGAAATTGTTCTGAATCTGGGCTGCTGCTGCGGGCGCCCTGGCGCAGCCCTAAAACACCATCTCCCCCGTTGACCGCAAAGTTGCACCACAAGACTTAAGGCTTCAAATTAATTCAGCACACAACTGGGGAGTAATTTGCTCAGATCCTGCCAGTGTGCACCAGACTGGAGAGAGCTGCAAGGTCAACCAACGGTCAGATACAGCTCTAGCCCTAAAAATAACTAGCCTCACTCTCTGCCTCTGCAGAGGCTGAACGCAGCTCAGCACTACCCGCCACCAGACGGCTGATTTCTCCTCTCTCCCCCCCTGCTGCCCCCTCATTGTTGCCAGGAGAGATGTGGAGGTGCCGAGCAGCTCTCTCAAGATGCTGCTGTGGGAGATCTAGCAATGGGCTATGATTTAAAAGCCACTCATCTCTTCTTGACGTTCATTTGACATTTCTGCCATAACCTCCCAACCTGGCAAAATCCAGGACAAGCTGCCAGGAACCCCCCAGCTGCCTGGCCGGAGGCAGTGCAGCCCACTCCCACCGCCTCTTGCGCTGGGAAGCTCCTGGTTCCCCCAGAAGCGACTCAGCTTCGGACAGAGCTGGCTTCCGCTGCCCTACTGCCAGGTATCATTTTTAAAACACTGCCGGCTTGAACTTCACCCTTGTTCAAAGAAATTCTAAACCTTTCCCTGTGAAGGGGCAGTCTGTGCACAGACATGCACTGTCTTGGCAATATTTTCGCTAAAAACTGGTCAAAAATAGTTCCTTTCAAAAACAATCCCTGTGTTCTTTGTGCATGCTTTCCCCCAGGGTTAAGTGACACCTCTGTGCGCAGTGTGCGAGCATCGCTCCCAGGCTGGCAGGGGCCCTTCCTCCCCGGCACTGCAGTCTCTTGCAGGAGAGTGTGGATCTGCCTTGCCAAGATCTTTTGGGATCTGCCAAAAGACAAGCGAAGCCAAGCCCTGGAGAAAGCAGCTCTGAGGAGGTGGTGGGGCTGCAGCAGGACCCCGTCCCTGTCCCGTGCCTGCTAGCTCGGAGAGGGTCAGGATGCAAAACAAGCCTTTGGGACAGGGAACAGGAAACAACAGGAAGCGACGATGACTTTCCCCACCAGCAGTACATCCTGACAGCGCCGCAGATCCATGTCCTTCCCGCTGAACTCACCCCTGTCAGCCCTGGGTTTGTTCTCGGCTGCCGTGCGGCACCTGATGCCTGCTGAAAGGCACACGAGCACTCATGAAACACGGTGTGAAGTCAGCAGCCCTCCAAATATCCCCAAGCCCTCCAGGAAATGCACCCCTGGAGGGGATCGTAGCCCAGCCATGGGGAGCTGGACTGGACACATGGTGTCCCCCACCCTGTACAACATTTCTGTGTCGGGGTAGGACTGAGGCAGACACCCAGGTTAGTGCTGTGTGACTCGACTCCTTCAGGGAGCTCGAAATTACCCCATTGCCTCCATCTCCATTCTCATCTGCTTCCTCCTCTCCTCATCGATGGGATGGAGGCAGAAGATGATGATGGCAATGAGCAGCAGAATTATTGGGATGGGGGCCATGAGAAGCTGCAGGGCAAGGACGACGGAGGGGTTGTACGTGCAGTCTCCTGCGTGGTAACCTGCAAAACTAAAGAGGAGAATGGTTTTCCTTCCCCCAACCCCACCGGGTCACTGCAGAGGGACAAGCAGGCACTTCTGTCGCTCTCCTCTAGAATCTGGTATTGGAGGCCCATTTTTGGGGAATTCCCACTGCTGACTGCTCCTCTCGATCCCAGTAGGTGTTGGAAAGACAAACTGGGATACCCCTGTGACTCATTCCAGCATCACCTGCTGATGCTCTAGAAAACAGCAGTGGGAAGTGCCCATGCGGGACTGACAAAATAGAGGAGGTGGCGTTTGGGGCTTACTGTAAACTCAGTGTCGATATCCCCACGGCAAGGCCACCTGCAAACTTGTTGAAGAAGACATAAAAGGAGTAGAAGAGAGCCTCCAGGTTGAGGCAGCTGGGGTTCCTCAGCATGAAGTCATCCACCGTATCTGGCAGCATGGACCTGGGGACAGACACGTTGGTCACAGCCACGCCAGCTCCAGCTGAACTCAGCTGCAGCCCCTCCAAGGCCTCTCCAAGCAGCAGAGAGACAGAAACCCGTCACAGAACCCTGCTCTGGAGCCCATTCTGTGCCCGTCCTCTGGCGTAGGGCAAACAGGGCAGAGAGTGTCTTACAGAGAGGGTGCGGCAGCTGCTTTGGGAAAAGAGGAGAAAAACAGTGCCTTGCGCAATGACTGGCATCATGCTGCTGCACCCAAACACAGACCCAGCGGTGCTGCTGGGGGACCGTGGATCAGTCCCCGTCCCTTGCCAGTCCCACCTCCACATGTCCCTGTGCAGCTCAAAAGCTGCTGTACTGAGCAGACGGGCAATCTTGGCATGTCATGGGTGGTGCTTTCCCCAAACCCTTCCCCTCATGCCTCAGAGGTGCCTCTGCTCACCACGGCAAGAGGTAGAGCACAGCCGTGCTGCAGCCTGCCACCATCACCAGGAAGACGAAGGCCAGGAAGTTCTGCCTCACCTGGGTGACAGCTACCAGGGCTGGGATGATCAGCTGTGGTGGCGAGAGGAAGAGGAGAAACAAAAGGACATGGGCTCTTTCTGCTGCTCGCAGTCTGCCCCAGCCAAAGGCTGTGCTCCCCCCTTCCCCACACACTCTGTAACAGAACTGCGTCTGTCCCCTCTGCAGCACCGTGGGGAGCCCTGGACAGGCTGAGACTGCCAGCAAACCCTTCCTTGCGGATAAAGAGGAGATGGTTATGGAGGACAACAGAGCAGAGTGGTTAAACTGGATCTGCTGTGGCTGCACCCGGTGTCTGTGAGGAAGGCATAGATCCTCAGTGGGATCGGAGATAGATCCTCGATGGGATTTCAGGACCAAGTTGTGCAAAATAAGCCAAATGGTATTTCCTTGCTGACCTGCAGAGCCAGGCAGCATCTGGGATGGGTGCCTGCGGAGCAGGCTGTTTCCCAGCCACTGCCAAGCATGGTGCACAGCCCTTCCTTCCCTCCCTGTGCCTCCCACGGAGCTGGATGGCAGAGCTCAGATTGCTTGCATCAAGCGTGCAAAATCCCGGAGCAGGACAGAGGCCATGGGATGATGGCTGTGTGTGCACATGAGACCGGTGCATCGGTACAGCATCTGATCACACGCTGCTCACCACGTCCGCAGCCACGCAGTCGCAGAGCCTGAGCCCTTGGTTGAGTTATATTGAAAAAAAAAAAATTCCCCACTGTCCCAGGGCCGGTCCCTCAGCCTCCCTGCACCTTACTGGAAAGCTCTGGCCACTGGTGCCAGCAGACACAAGGATACGCAGAGCTGCCATCAGCTACTGGCTTCACTCCTGGTCACCTGCAGTGCTGAGGACACCACGCTCAGGGCCACCCTCAGCTGCCAGCCAGGTCTTTGCCTCAGGCACCATGGGCAGCTGGGACACAGCTGTCCCCTCGCAGCACTTCTCAGTCCAGAGCTTGAACCACGGGCAAACTCACCGCCAGCCCCAGTGACGCTGCTGTTTTCTTTCCAAATCTCCCCAAAAACCACTGCCAAAATGGAATAGAGAGGGAAGCCGTGACCTGAGGAGAGAACCAAAGGGCAGCCTCAGCAATGCCCCCCCAGCACTGCCAGCCTCTGCCTGGGGGACATCCTCGCTGAGGGGCAGAAGCAGCAGCACACGACTCCACGAGGCTGAGCTGCCCAGGCTCGCGGGTGACCCAGGGACCAGCCCCTCCACCAGGAAAGTCTCCTTGGGGCTAACTTACCAGCATGATAAGCACCAAATGCTGGAACTTCCCGGCCAGCCCTGCGGCATGAGTGCAGAAGAAGGCAAAGATCCCCTGGGTGATCTGGGAAAGCAACGTGCAGGTGTTCACGGCTGGGGGTCCCAAGTTCATTGTCTGGATAACTTGCCCGGACATCTCATCCCTCAGGTTCTCCTCCTGGGGAGGGACTCACACCTGGAAGGCCAGGGACGCAAAGAGGAAGCCACAGAGCAGCTGGGTGTAGGGCTTGTGTCCCAGGATCATCCTCAGGCAGCTGGCAAAGGGCAGCTCAACCTTCCCCAGGGGGCTGAGGGGCCCTGAGAGGAGAGACAGCAGAGCTGGAGCTGCCAGAACGAGCAGGATGGGGTGTGAGGCACGGGGGGATTGTGCTGCTTCGTCTGGGATGCAGCTCAGCTGAGTGAGGAGCTGTTGGGGTCTGAGGTCTCAGTGCAGAGACAGCAGCCGTGGTGTCGGCTGTTTCTGAGCCCCACACCCACAGAGGAGCCCAGCTCCCTCTGCAACCCCATCCTCACCATCCACAGCCACAGGGCATCCTCTAAATTGGATCTAAATGGATCTTACCAGGCTGCTCCCTGACTCCAAAGATGAGGATTAGACAGGACAGGCCATAGATTGAGCCCAGGACCAGGGATGCAAACACATAGGCTCTGCGCTGGAGAAGGACAGATGGTGCAGAGTGACAATGCGGGTGGCATGCACAGCGCTGGCAGCACGGCCAGCAGCGCCTGCCCCAGAGCTTCCAGGAGGAGCAGGGGCAGACGGGCCGGCCCTCACCGTGTTCTCCAGAGAGTCCGTGAGGCTGTGGGTGCTGGTGTTGGGCAGGGTCTCGTTTGACACGTAGCAGCTGTTCGTCGTGCGGGCATGGTAACTGCCCACGATCTGCCCCTGGATTCCTGACCCAAGGAGCGTGCTGAACACCTCCAGCCCCATTCCTGCCAGGACAACCGGGAGAGAAACCTCAGTCCCACTCCCTGGGTGATGGGACACATCCCTCAGGGTAAGAAACCAGCTTTGGGAATGGACTTGGAGGCACCAACATCCAGAGCTGCCTCAGAAGGAGAGACCTGCTGTTTCTACCTGCTCTGATTTTTTTCCCTTGGCTCCAGCAGTAAACAGTGTAATGTCTGGAAACAATAAATCTGGGTCCTGAGTCCCCTAGGGATGGCACAGATCTAAGAAACGTTTCTGCAGGTAAATTCTTTGCAGAAGATGTCTGGTTTCATCCCTGTTGTCATATCCCTGGTTTACCACATCCACTCTGCAGCCTGATCAAAGCCGGAGGAACTTATTCCCCTCTCCACTGGGGAGGGTCTCCCAGGACCGCAGGCAGCCAGGAGCTGTAGGGGCACAGACACTTACTGTAGGCAGTGGCTGAGTCACGGTCTCTCTGGGTTCCTCCCAGGAACATTGTCAGCGAAGAGTACGGCACGTGGTAGCACTGGGGAGAGCACAGTTCAAACACTGCTGCCTCCCGTGTTTGCTGCTCACGACCCCCTGGTCCCTACACACAGCGGATGATGCTGCCCTGTGCCACCCCTGCACACAGGTGGCTTTCCACCCTCCTGTGATTTGCTCTGTTCCCACAAACCAGTGGTGGAGAAGTTCCCATCACCAAATAGAGCCAGCCCAGCCAAATCCCCAGCATTAAAATGCACCGCTCCCCCTCCCCATCCCTGCAGAGATGCTCTGCAACGTCCCGCATTCCTCACTGCTCCATCTCCCCATCCCTGCAGGGATGCTCTGCAACATCCCGCATTCCTCACTGCTCCATCTCCCCATCCCTGCAGGGATGCTCTGCAACATCCCGCATCCCTCACTGCTCCATCTCCCCATCCCTGCAGGGATGCTCTGCAATATCCCACATCCCTTGCTGCTCCCAGAGCTCTCCCAGACTCTGCTGCAGGTCCCCTCCTGGGGAGGCTGGGGCTGGGACCCCCCAGCTGACCGTGTCCCCATCCCTTGCAGTACAGGATGACGTGTAAGACCATCACCCCCAGGCACCCTGTTCCTTACGGTCATGCAAGTCTGGAAGAAGCAGTACATGAGCAGGTACCACAGGAATTTCAGGGAGGTGGGGGTGGCATCCGAGAGGGTCAGCCACATCATGCAGTAGCAGAGCACCCCAAAGGGCGTGGAGCCTGCGATCCTGGGGAGGAAGCAGAGCTGGTCAGATGTCATTGCACAAGCCGAACTGCATGGCACAGCCCTTCCCCGGCTTCCAAACCACAGCCCAGCTACTGTGAGATCAAGATCAGCGAGAGGAAGCGGCTTTGGTGAAGTGAGTGTCCGTCAGTCATGCTGGGGGGGGCTAAATACAAACGTTCAGAGAAAAACTAATGTCTAAGTTGTCCAATGTCTCTTATTCTCTTGCTTAACTGCTTCAAGTCCCAGCAGAGCCCTGTCGGCAGCGGTAACCCTCCACGTGCAAGATCTGCCAGTGGTTAGAGCCCGGTGGAGGGCTCCTGGCACAGCCAGCCATCAAACCCTTCACGTGCCACCACGCAGGATGCTTGGAGGACTGAACCCCACGGAGTGAAAGAGAAGTGTACGAGTTTGCAGCACGCTCCTCCTCTTGCATTGCAATGACATCCGGACCCCCTATGAGTTACGTTATCTTTAGTGTCCCTGTGATGTTATGGTTTTGTCATTCTCCGTAAGCCACAATGACACCAGACTCCCAGTGAGGTCCCAGCTACCTCCTGGCACTCGCACTGAAGGGATTTGAGACCAGCAGAGACCCTCATGAAGCTCCAGCCCAGACACTTACCATGGGATCAACTTGCCGTATTTTCTCCTTGGGCTCTTGCTGACTAGGAAGCCAATAACGGGGTCAGTAACCGCATCCCAGGCTCTTCCAAGGAAAATGATCAAAGAGGCATGGAATGGCTCCAGCTGGGGGGAAATGGAAACCACAGCTCCAAAGTGGAAGAAGCCCTGGCGAAAAGCTGCAAGCAGTCAGCACGGTGCAGCTCGCTCCAGCCAACATTTCATCTGCATCCCCTGGAGACCACTCAGAGTGTTGAAATGGCCCAGAAACGTCTCCTGCGTGTCCACCAGCCAAATTTGCATCACGTGATTTTGATCCAGTTTGAATTCCTCATGCTGATGAGCATTTCCAAGGGCTTTGGCCACCCACCAAACCCTGCCCTTGCCCCAGTCTGCTGAGCGTACGCTGAGCCCCTCTGCAGATAACCCCGTCCCACGTGGCCACTCACCTGGACAACATCCAGCAGGAAGATCTGGAGGAAGAACCCAAGGGCATTGCCTGTCATCTGGTAGGGAATGCCCCCGACGGCATAGCACAGCTTTCGGCAGAGCGGCAGTGCCGGCTCCTCCTGCAGCCGAGACACAGGGAACGAGCCCGCCTGAGAGCTGGCACATCTCCGCTGACGGCAGACCCCCAGCCACTGCTTGTCCCACCGCCGGGCTCTCTGAGGGCCCTGTAAACCCCAAGTCACGGCATAACCCCCCACCACCCACTCATCACCCGACCGGACACCCACAAGCAAGGTGGATGCGGCAGTTGGGGTGCTGTGGGGTGCTCCTCCATCTGCTGGTACCCTCAGTGGGTCAGGGCGCGGTGCTCCCTGCACACAGCCTGCCCTCGGCTCCCGAGGTCCTGCTCAGCAGAGTTTCGTTTTCTCCGTAAGCCTCAGGGTCTCCTGCACGGCCGCCCCGAGGGGCTGGGCACCCCGACAGCCTCGCTCCAGCCCACCAGCCCACCTCCACTCCTGCACCAGCCAAAGCCCCAAGGCCAGAGCTGATTGGGGGCATCTCTCATCTGCTTGTCTTGGGTTTGTCTTGTCACCAGGGTCACATCCCGGGTGTTTCACCTCCATTCTTCTCTGCCTCCCAATACACCTCTGCATCGCGACACACCTCGGCATCGCACAGGACCAGGAGGATGCTGCAGAACACAGTGGGACCGCAGAGAGCAGATAGTCCAGCCGGTCTCGGCTTTCCCCTCGGCTCTCCTGCAGGCTCTCCATCGCTCGAGGTCATTTCTGCTGGGATGGGGGGTCACCGTGCAGGTGCCTGGAGACCATGGCTGAGGTCCTGTCTCAGTGCAGGCTGCCTTGGATGATGCCCAGGGCTGACACCCTGTCCCCAGCTCAGGTTCCTGCTCTACACCACGTTTCGGCTGTTGTGATCACCGAGCAGCTCCAGCGCGGCTCAGAGCGCGGCAGGCAGGTTGCTGCCCTGCACCCCCAAAAATCACCTTTCTGGAGAGATGCGGGAGGCTCCTCTGCTCCCGCGGGGCAGACGGCCACCCCCGGCGCCAGACGCCCAGGGCTGACACCCTGTCCCCAGCTCAGGTTCCTGCTCTACACCACGTTTCGGCTGTTGTGATCACCGAGCAGCTCCAGCGCGGCTCAGAGCGCGGCAGGCAGGTTGCTGCCCTGCACCCCCAAAAATCACCTTTCTGGAGAGATGCGGGAGGCTCCTCTGCTCCCGCGGGGCAGACGGCCACCCCCGGCGCCAGACCTGGTCCGGACACGGCTGTAAAGGCTGCAGGCTCCAGCCAGAGCTCTGCAGAAGAACAGAGAGCAAGAGGGACGAATGCCTGGCACGGAGGGAGCTGTGCAAGAGGCTGGGCTGAGGAACAGGCTGCAGAGTCACACCCACAGCTGGGTGACGGAAATCAAGTCAGGGATCGCTTCCAGTCCCCACTCACCCTCATCTCTCGTGGGACAAGGGGACAACCTGCTGGTCACCAGCCTGTCTGGGCTGGAGGTGGCTCGCTGTGCCACTAATGTCCATCAAGCTGACAGCCACCCCCGAGGGGTGACAGACCTTCATTGTCACAGTGCTAGGGAGCAGCTTCCGAAAGCACAGCCACAGTCCCCACGCAGCATTGCAGAAAGCACCGAGTGCATTTCCCCCCCAGCGATGAGCAATCACTCCTCTGCAGCCCCTGCCGCGGGAAAAGCACCGATGCTGCTGTGCCCTAGCCTGGAGGGCTCCTGCACAACCGGGGGGCACAGCGCCCGCCTTCCCCGTGCCGGGTAACCTCGGCAGCCTGCTCGTGCCTCTCGGCTTCTGGTCCCAGTTTACTTTCTGCCTTTTCCAGCATACAGCGAGAATCGTGTCCCTTGTATTCCAGATTGCGACCAGCCTCGTCCCGCAGGGGTGGCTGCAGCCTTCGCCTCGCACCACCGCTGAGGAGCACTTACTCATACAACATCTCCTTCCCACAGCGGTTCTGTTTCTAAAATTACAGAGGCATTTCTCTCAGCTGTAAGGCTTTGTGGCAGCTTTTGTTCCCTTTCTGCTCCCAGCAGGTAGGACAGCGCTCCGCACTTCTTTGCCTATTCCACTGGAAAGTCAGGAACGGCACCGCACCGCCGAGCCTCGCTTTAACAACATGTTCCTGAGCAGCTTGAGTCACAAAACCCTTCGAAACACCCCCACAGCCCGCG